CCTTCTTCTTCTTCTTCTTCTTCTTCTTCTTCTTCTTCTTCTTCTCTTCATCCTCCTCCTCCTCTTCTTCTTCTTCCTCTTCCTCTTCTTCTTCCTCCTCCTCTTCTTCTTCCTCTTCCTCTCCTCCTCCTGGGGTCTTGCTTGCCACGGCCCTGTTCCTGGCATATCACAGACCAATGCCAGTCCAAGGACAAGGGTTGCAGACCTCTGTTCTAGTTCAACCCCCTGCTCAAGCAGGAGACCCTATGACATTTCAGACAAGAGGCTGTCCAGTCTCTTCTTGAAAGCCTCCAGTGATGGACCACCCACAATTTCTCGAGGCAAAGTTGTTCCACTGGTTCGTTGTTCTCCCTGTTAGGAAATTTCTCCTTAGTTTTAGGTTGCTTCAATCCTTGATTAGTTTCCACCTGTTGCTTCTTGTTTTGCTTTCTGGTGCTTTGGATAATAGCTTGACCCCCTCTTCTTTGTGGCAACCCCTGAGATATTGGAAGACTGCTATCATGTTACCCCTAGTATCTCTTTTCATCAAACTAGACATACCCAGTTCCAGCAACTGTTCTTTATATGTTTGAGCCTCCAGTCCCCTAATCATCTTGGTTGCTCTTCCCTGCACTCTTTCTAGAGTCTCAACGTCTTCTTTTACATCGTGGTGACCAAAATTGGATCCAGGACTCCAAGTGCGGCCTTACCAAGGCCTTATAAAGTGGTATTAACTCTTCACGTGATCTTGATTCTATCCCTCTGTTTATGCAGCCTAGAACTGTGTTGGCTTTTTTGGCAGCTGCCGCTCGTTTGCAATAAGCCTCCCCCCACCCACTGTTTAAGAGATGAGAGTGATGGACATATGCTAATGAGCAAAGGGGGAAGGAGGAGACTCTGTTACAGCAGGGCTCCGATAGGATAAAGCCATCTACCGAGGGTCCCATCTACGGGCTGCATAATGCTGAAGCAATACAATAAAAGCCAGAGCGAATTCAGAAGATGCCTATGAGTCTTCATGAGGTTTGGGATTGCAATTAGGGAAGACGATATTACATTTCGTGCGTGCACTAATACGTCAAAGAGGAGAACTTTGTGAGGACTGTCCAAATGAGAGATTAGGGAAAGAGGATTTGAAACTAGTGCTCTGACCTAAGGATGATGAGAAACTCATTAGAATCTAGGTTCGGCTTTCTAAGATTGTGATTCTGGAGAGGCCACCAAAGTACCAAGAGATAATTTCATTCCATGATGGCCTCATTTGGAGCTGTCTCAGCTTGGAGATCAACTCTCCCATTCTCTAATCACTGTCAGGATTCCAGCACTTAACCCCATTTAAGTCATGAGTCTCGAGCCAAACTTCCAAAACTTCAAAAGGATTTATTGGGAGTTAAAAGGTCTGGCATTGCCTGGGTGTAGCCGACTCTGAGATACATCATTCATTGTCACCCTTGACCCTGGTTTTCCCTCCACCCCCTGAGTGTATCGTAATTCATATTCTCCAATGGGACACATCCATAGCCAAGAGTCATCAATCATGTTCTCCAGTTAGAATTTTGCATGGCAGAAACCTCAGTCACCTAGTTACTATCTTTGAAAATATTTATGGAATGCTGTTTTGGGTTTGCAAGCTGCCGCACTGCTCCCCCCTCCCTTTCTGTTGGCAACCCTAAAAAGACCAGATAAATATTTTATGAGTTGACATTCACTCCGTTTTAGAAGATGGCTTTTTCCTAGTTTCTCCTCTACATTTTGGGCATCCTGGGATGGTCCGGGGGTACTTGGAGCAAAGAGGACCAGCAAGAAACTCATCAGTCTGGAACCCGCATTACGTATCTGATATTAACATAGTTGAGAAAGTCCAGAAATATTTCACAAGAAGAGTTCTCCACTCGTCTACTCGTTGAAGAATACCTTATGCCACCAGACTTGAAACTCTAGAACTAGAAAACCTTGAATTACGCCGCCTTCGGTCTGATCTAAGTATGGTATATAAAATCATACATTGCAATGTCCTACCTGTCAATGAGTACTTCAGCTTCAACCATAACAATACAAGAGCACACAATAGATATAAACTCAAGGTAAACCGCACCGAACTTGATTGCAGGAAATACGACTTCAGCAATAGAGTGGTCAATGTCTGGAATACTCTACCCGACTCTGTGGTTTCTTCCCTAAACCCCAAAAACTTGAACCTTAGTCTACTATTGACCTCACCCCTTTCCTAAGAGGTCTGTAGGGGGCGTGCATAAGCACACCAACGTGCCTACCATCCCTGTCCTATTGTTTCTTTTTCTTATATGTATCCATTTCATGTATTCATAATTTTGTTTATACTTATACCTGTTATCTTATAATTGCTTGACAAATAAATAAATGAATGAATGAATGAATGAATGAATGAATGAATGAATAAGTAAGTAAGTAAGTAAGTAAGTAAGTAAATAAATAAATAAATAAATAAATAAATAAATAAATAAAGTAGTAAAAGTTAAGTATGGTTGACTCCTGGAAGGTGTCAAAAGAATGCTGAAGCCCTAATAAGAGGGAAGAAAAGAGCAAGAAAGTTGATACGAGGTCTGGAAGATAAATTGTGTGATGAACAGCTAAGGCAGGGGTGTCAAACTTGATCGCATCGCAGGCTGGATCAGGACACATCGCAACCTTTTTTGCCTTGGCAGAGTCAGGGTGGGCATGGCCTCTGTGGGCCATATCTTACCCGTGGGCTGCCAGTTTGACAGGCCCGAACTAAGGGAACTAAGTGTGTAATGAAGGAAAGAAGGCTTAGAGGAGACCAAAGGTACAAGTACAGACTAACTGAAACCTGGCTTAAAAACAGTAACTGTGAGAGGGATCTTGAGAGTTCTAGTGGACGACCCCTTAAACATGAGCCAGCTGTGTGTGGCAGCAGCCAGAAAAGCTAATATAATCCTTGGTTGTATAAACAGAGGCACAGAATCAAAATCGTGTGAAGTTATTAGTACCACTTTATAAAAACCTTAGTAAGGCTGCACCTGCATCCAGTTTTGGTCACCACATTACAAAAAAAAGTCTGCAGAGGTGGTATT